ATGGACGGATGAATGGACAGACAGCAGACCGACTGACAGATGGATGGATGGCTTCACTATATCCCAACCAAACTTCGTTCGGTTGGGATATTGGAGACTCATATTCTTTCAACGGATCAAATTAAATGAATACATGTACTACCACCAATATTCACATAGAATTCATCATACACTTTCAGTGCACCTTACAAAAAAATATATACTGGGAGCAGTTCTGCCTGCATTTGGGTTAAAAATTGATTTTTAGAAACTTTCAGTGAAATGAGTCTTATAAGTCGTAAGAGGCCAAATCAATATATTTATTTTAGATGTACCAGTATATGTCTTTTAATCCACAAATGAATTTTGTTTTATTCTTTAAATCAATCTTTAAAGGGATGCTACTATTACTTTGGATTGAAAGAATTTGGAGGTCATTTCAATACGTACATTGTCTCAGTCCTTCGATCACAGGTGCATGGTACCACTTTGTTATATGTGAATTTTTATCTCTATGTATTCATCAATAGACATGCTACTCAATTGTTATCAACTGTTTTTAAACAAATAACAAAATTTATCTCATCTCAAGGATGATGTTAAATCTACTTATAGTTTTGCTTATCATGTGTCAAACAAATAAACATGTAACTTCATATCTCTGGACACACCTAAAACTCAGGTACTATTGTTTTATCATGGTAAGTCAAAATGCATAAAAGTAATTACTAGTACTAAGAAAGAAATTGCATTGAAATATTTCACAAAAAACATACAGGGTGACACTAAATTTCCAGCCGATGCATACATATGCCAATAACTTTAATCTAATTATGTACAAATTGTTCTTTTTGGACCATCCATGTAATAAGGCCTTGAAAATTAATAGTGCTCCAGTTTTATTTGTTGGTTATGATTATAAATTATGAAAATTCTAGAGGATTCATAGTGCTAATTCTCTTCTATTTCAGAAGTGAAATGTATCGTCTGTAGTACTGTATGATAACTTCTTGTTAACAGGACCTATAAATGCTGAGACAATGGATGGCTATCAACATTTAGGCATAAACCATAAAAATCTTGAAACAAACCCTAACTGAATGTTATCAAACTTTCCTGTAAATTAAAATGATAGCATGTCTTACGAGACCATCCTATGTAAAATAATTGACTGATGAAGCCACACGATTATGATTGTATATTTTCTATAATACCATGATCTGCAATATGGTTGGCTCATATAAGTCACATGGGCATGGTTTGTGATTGTATATAATGCAGATATGTAATCATGTGCATTATTCAAAGGCTGTCGAATGATTAACTAAATCCCTAATAAATGTATACAGCAATAAACCTCAAAATTTATCTATATAATGTTACAGTTCTTCATAGTAAAGTTACTTCCTTCAAAAAATGAAAAACCTCAAAAGTAAAAACATTGAAAATGTTGAAGGAGATTTAGAAAGTGAAACTTTCTATCTAAGCTCCAGAAATACCATTCCATTCTTCTTAGGAAGTTCCCTGTGAATAGCAAACATCAGTACCTTTTCCATGAAACTCATTGATTTATTTGAAAGGGTTTACATGAATGTAGAGAGTAACAGGACCACTTCCCTCATAGATAAATACACTTACAATGTAACTATTAGAAGGAGTACATTTTACAATATAAGAATCAAGGAAAATATAACATATGAAGTCAACATCTGAATGGTAACAAGAAGCAAAGGCAACAGAATTCAATCGAAGAAGACATTATTTTTAATGATGAACTGCAGAAAAGCTAAGGCTTTGTTTCTAAAAGTATTCTTTTTAGCCTGTATTATAGGTGAGTTTTGTTTCTAAAAGTTGAAACACATATTTATCTTTTTAACATAATCATCATTCACATGGCTTTCATTCCAGGCTTTCATCTAATGCATTCATTGATTGGATTTCTAGATCACATTTGAAAAAATGGTACAAGAAAGTAAAAAAAACAATAATTTTATCTTTCATTGTTTTGAGTCACAAAGCTTGAATGCAGAAAGCCTATCATCCATTTTTTTTATTTGTTCCACACAGGAACTGCTCAAGCACGTAAGAGGTCAGAAACCAAAGCACAAATTCCAACCAGGGAATCAGTAGGAGAGCAAGGAGATGCACAAAGGAGATCTAATGACAGACCAGAATGTCCCACAGCGTGTCCCATGATCTATAATCCTATATGTGCGTATGATGGGGAAAAATATGTGACTTTTCCTAGTCAGTGTGATATGACAGTACATGCTTGCAAGTAAGCTGGATTAAAGATTATATATCGAATAACATTTACATATTTCATGAATTAATTCTGTTAATACTAATTTTAATGGTTCAAGTTTTGTTCAAAATTTCAAATATAGCAATACCTCTCAAATCTGCCCAATTCTATTGGGATTGTCTAAAAGTATTTTCACTATAAAGGTATTTCGAAGTGTTTATGCAACATTCAAAAGTTTGCGTGAGACCCCCCCATGCGGGGAGGGTAAGAAATTTGATCCACAATATTGAGCAGTAAATATTGGTTTGTCAAGTTTGTTTTCGCCCTCCCTTGGGAAAAATACACTTCCGCATTCTACTTATATTCATAAGCTCGTCATAATTTAATTGATTTAATATAGATGATTAATTTAATTTGAAATTAATTTTCGAAAAAAAGTTACATAGTCGAACGAATTTTAATTTTATTACTTTGATTTAGATGAGCAAAACAGAGGGAGGTAACCTATTAAAGTAAAAAGCCAATATCTTAAAATACGTTATTGCATAATTTTCGAAAATTAATACGATGTGAATATGTTCCCGATTTCTACCCATCAAACGCAACAATCAGCGCCCATTCAAATTCCCCACCCATGCCTGCGTGGGGGGTCTCACGCAAACTTTTGAATGGTGCATTACAATGAGAGTTTTTCAGATAAAAGAATCAATCAAATGCAATTGTTCTTACAAATTATCTCTTTTTTTCCAGAAGTGGCAAACTAGTGACACCACAGTTTAGAGGACCTTGAGGAAAGAGAATTATAACACCACAGTTCAAGTTAGAAAGAACATTTTGAAATTATATGTAAAAAGCACTTAAATTAGAAGAATAAATAAAAAATGTATAAATATACACTAGGGCAGAGCATTTGTACTGAAAGGAGCGTTTTCAGTACAAATATGTACTGAAAAATGTACTGAATTTTTAAGTATATTTTTCAGTATAAATATGTACTGAAAAATATACTTAAAATTTCAGTGCAAATTTCAGTATAAATATATACTGAAAAATGTACTGAAATTTTAAGTACATTTTTCAGTATATATTTATACTGAAAAATATACTGAATTTTAAGTGTGATTTTAAGTGCAAATATGTACTTAAAAATATACTGAAATTTAAGTGTGATTTTAAGTGCAAATATGTACTGAAAAATATACTGAAATTTAAGGGCATATTTAAGTGTAAAATACTGAAAAATATACTTACATTTTGAATTATGACATCTTCCTGACTTTGACATCTATACCATGGATTTTGCTATACTCGAACAAATGAGGTTCTATGTTCATGTTATATATTTTAATTTTGATATCAATTAATTAATTTGCTCAAGCAATATGAGTGAAAATCTCATGAAAAACTTATTTTTAAGACTGGGAAAATGTGTACCTTTAATGTTTTTGAATGTTAGTACTTAATAAGAATGTATATAGAAACCACAAAAGGTATGGAATACACATGTTATGTACGATCAGTTTTAAATAAAGGGTTTATCCCTCAGGAAATATGGGTATCCAAAACCTCCCAGTACATAACCCTTATATATGCATTATATTTGATAGGTTTGATCGGGCTAAAAAGAAATTTATTGATGGAGAAAATGCAATCAGATATTATTACAGGATGCGTCTTAAATAATTAAATCCAAAAACATAACTTATTAAAACGAAAACACTTGATTACAGTAAACCTAGCCTCTCCAGTTTGATTAGAGTCTGCTTTAAAGGATGTGTCTAAAGAAACTTTATTAATCCATTAACAAAACAAAATATTTTGACAAGGCAAAACAAACCTGATTACAGAGAGACTCTTTTAAGTTTGGTTAAAGGCTGCTGTAAAGGAAGCATCCAAAATAATTTCTAATTTCATAATGTAATAGCATTCCTGTTGGGGGGGGGTTTCAGGGGTCCAAGCGAACCCCCCCCCCGGCCAAAAATTCTTTTAAAATCATGCACTTTTTCACCATTCTAAGAACTTTTTGAGTGATTTAGAGTTTATAAAGTATGCCTTACATTTACGTTTTCTCTTATTTCCATTATTGGGCACAAATATTTCTCATTGCATATATTTATACTTAAAATTATCCTTAAATTTCAGTATATTTTTTAGTACATTTTTATACTGACTTTTGCACTTAAATTTCAGTACATTTTTCAGTATATATTTGTACTTAAATTTATCCTTAAATTTTCAGTGCATTTTTCAGTATATTTTTGCACTTAAATTTGTCCTTAAAATTCAGTACATTTTTCAGTACATATTTATACTTAAATTTGTACTTAAAATTCAGAAAATTTTTCAGTACATGAATTTGTACTGAAAAATATACTGAAAAAAATTCAGTGCATTTTTCAGTACAAAAATATACTTAAATTTGTACTGAAACAAAACTAGTACATTTTTCAGTACATATTTGTACTGAAAACGCTCCTTTCAGTACAAATGCTCTGCCCTAGTGATATAATCATTTTTTTTAGATTAAAGCAAATAAACGAAAATATATACACAGAGCTAAACACCTGGGGTAAAACCAAAAGCAAATTTTATGAGATCCTTTTAGTGGAGAAAATTGTCATCAGTCAAATAGATTCAAGATCATATAACCATGTGATTTACATAACATAGACTAAGCTTTTGGAAATTGATACTGCACACTGTAAACCAATCTGGTTGTGAGTTTGTATCATCTATTAGAGTTCATAGTTTTCAAACAATATTTCTAAAGACTTACCATCACGTAACTGTTCTTCTATGGATTTGACATCATTTGTCTCTTGTGCTATATGGTTCAACATATCTTCAAGTTGTGTCTGGAGCTCTGTGTAATCTTGAATTCTGGTGTCTATTTGGTGTTGTTTGTCTGACATTTCTTCTCTCATCACTCGCTAGAAAAATTCAATAAACAACTTATCCCATGGAGATTATAATGTATCGAAGTGTGTTGCAACATTTCCTTGCTAAATAACACATAAAGTCAATACAATATTGTCCCATGATATAAAACTAAAATTCTATGCTTCACAGTATAAGCAATATAAATCTACAAATTGAAGTAATCTAGAGTTTTTTTGTGTCGGTTTGATGTTTTTACTAATGTTCCACTTTTTGGGCCACTCTACAAAAAATTAAGAAATAAAACATGCATGTTTTATTTGGATTCGCTTACGTAGAGGGACCCCTGACTGTCAGTTCTCTGCATACGACCTCTCAGTTCTGCCACGTCAGCTTTATTCTGTTGAATATCTCCCTGGGCTGTCAGCATTCCCTCTTCTATCTGGACAGAGTTGTCTCGCAGAGTACTGATCTAAAAGCAGGAATCAAACCTATAAATTTAACATCAAAGAAGGCAATGTGACTTTTAAATTAGTTATTGTGAATCCATGATCCATGAATCTATTCTTTAATACTTATACAAGTTGTATTAAATGTAACTAAATGTAGCAATGTGTCTCTTACTATTTGCATTTTTGATGCAAGTGTGTTCCTAAGCTCTCCTTTATCAGTTTCTGCTAGAGGAGCTCTCCTGGGAGAGAGGTTGGAAAGTTTCTGGAGCTCTTCAGTAGCTTGAATGAGTTGTGATTGGGTAACTTCTAGCTCACCTTGTAGCTTGGCCAGCTTCTCTTGGGCTTAAGTACAAGAAGATCAAAAACTGATATGAATTGGATCATTTAATACATATCACCAATCAGTGAAACATTTACATAAAACAGGGAACATTAAAGAGTCATGACATCAGAAACAGATCTTACAACGAAGATTGAAAATGGGTTAAGTGGACACTACGATACTTAATTTTTTTCTTCCACATTATGAATACTAAGCATCAATACAAGTATATTAAATTTTACAACTATTTGTTACCTCTCTCTATACTTCTGTATTTATCTGCCAATTCTGCATCCATTGTTTGTTTTAATGTCTCACGTACATCAGGGTGGATGGGAGATGCCTTACATGTAAAAAATGTTTTAATATTATGTGCATCAACAATGTTACAAGACAAATTCTATTTGCCTGGAAATGGTTAAAATGGTTAAAAATGTAATACGAATTGTTGATAAAGATGACCATAACTAACCACCAACTGCTGATTGCAATGTGTAAGTCATAAAAATTATGGCACCATTTCTTGGTGGTAACACAAAGTAAAGTGCTTTATTTTGACAAGTTCAAAATGAAATGCAAATACAGTGAAATTTTGTAAAATCATTGGGATTTACTTGATCCTAATATTCTTTAAACTAAGGCATTTCTACAGGGTGGGCAATAAAAAAAATAGGACATTGCATCGTTCTTAAAAGTTACTTAAGATCACATGGATAAACCATGTGCAGCATACCACAATATGTCATTATTCATATTTCAAATTTATTGAATGTTGATTATAATTTGACTTTGTAATTAAAAATGAAGAAATCTGAAAAAGAAGTGTTTTATGTCCTTTATCAGCAATAATAGCCCCCAATCTATAAAACATTCAGAATTTATAATATTCATGCTTTTTTAGACCTTCGCTACAATTCATAAGTTATTTTATCCTCAATATGTTTTAATTAACTGAAGTTAAACCAGTATATTTTCTTGAAATATATATAGTCCCATTTTAGAACCCAAAACCCTGATTTTTAGGCTTTTCCCAGAATTCTCATGATGTATCAGATAAATTCCCCAAATACATATCAAAAATAGCAATAAGAAAAAAACTGTTTTAAACATATAGAAGAGTACCAAGACTACTACAAATAAAAATAAGGCATTAACATGACAAAATGTCACCACCTATTTGCTCAGAATATTATGAGTTTGATCTTTGTATCTATTATAAGATATTCATATGCATACAAGTACTAAACTCTACCTGAGGTGACTGTATGGAGAGTGATCCTTTAACTGCCCTTCCTCCCTCTGCACCTTCTGCCTGTCTCCCACTGGACTCAAGATAACTTGCACCTGGAAACAAAATATAAGTAAAAATATATAATTTACAATGAATATTCAATTTTTAAAGTAAGATAGAAGTAAAAATAAGAGGTATGTTGGTGTGACTATTACATTGTTTTCCTTATGACAGGCTGCGAGCATAGGTGTTATTTTTCTGGCTGTGTTTTGTACTATTTGGTATTACAGGGTGTCAATTTGCGCCGAAACCCCCCAAAAAGCCAATACCAGGGAAAGTACCCTTACAAACTATATATAAAAAGCTCATTTAATTCTGAATGAGTGAACTGAACTGAACCTGTGGATACAACAATATGGACTATCTTATACTACTCTCTTTGAACTTGATTTACAGTTACAACAATTACTGGGCATGAAGTGTATATTTCAACTCAGTGTTTCTCAGATGATTATTTTCAAACATAAACTAGACAAACAAATGTAGTAGCTTTAAACAATGTGAAATATGAATATGTACTTAATATGCGAATATAATGCAGTCATAAAGTAATAAATTATTGGTAGATAAAAAACATCTGAAGTGCAGTATTACAGAAAGTACCATATTTCAAACATAACTGTCTTATCTACAAACATTGGCAGATACATCCGAGTAGAACTACAAATTTTTAAGTATTATACAAACATAATTTTGTTTGCTCAACACTGAACTTTTTTATCTGACATGTAAAACACGTGATCAAAAGCTAGACATACAAGTTGTGTCAAGTTGTATGTCTCTTTGATAAGTTTATTGATAAGTACTACCAGCCGTCTAACCAGTAAGGTTAATTACATCCAGTGTTGATTTATACTTTGGAACATTCTTAACACAGTATGTTGAATAGGATGTTTGGGATGGCAACATTCCCCATATAGACATTCAAAATGGCTGATTATACAGATCAGGTAGAGAGAGACGTTATCGATGCAATTGAAAGGGAAGATGAACATCAGCTGAGATTGATCCTGCATAGAACATCTAGTTGCCATGAAAACACACTTGTATGGGCATTAGAGAAAAATGAGAAACTTAGTAAAGAGACATTAGACTTATTGCTGGAAAAGGGAGCAGATATTAATGCTTTTGACAATGATTGGACTGCATTGATGCGTGCTTGTGATTCTGGCTCTCTGGAATATACACAGTGGTTAACAGAGCATGGAGCAGATGTCAATGCTAAGGACAGTTCTTATGGTTGGACTGCATTGATGTGTGCTTGTAAGTGTGACTCTATGCAATGTACCGAGTTGTTAACAGAACATGGTGCAGATGTCAATGCTTTGGACAATGATGGCTGGACTGCATTGATGTATGCTTGTAGGTCTGGCTCTCTGGAATGTACAAAGTGGTTAACAGAGCATGGTGCAGATGTCAATGCTAAGCACAATAATGGTTGGACTGCAATGATGCATGCTTGTTATTCTGACTCTCTGGAATGTACACAGTGGTTAATAGAGCATGGTGCAGATGTCAATGTCAAACACAAAGATGGCAAAACTGAACTGATGATGGCTATTGAGAAAAGGTCTCTTGAATGGATAAAGATGTTCACAGACCATGGTGCAGATGTCAATGCTAAGGACAGTGATGGTTGGACTGCATTGATGCATGCTTGTGAGTCTGGCTCTCTAGAATGTACAAAGTGGTTAGCAGAGCATGGAGCAGATGTCAATGTCAAACACAAAGATGGCAAAACTGAACTGATGATTGCAATTGAAAAGAGGTTTCTTGAATGGATAAAGGTGTTCACAGACCATGGTGCAAATGTCAATGCTGTTACCGAATCAGGCAAGACAGCACTCACATACATCCATAGATTCACCCCTAAATATAGAGAACTATACAGCCTTCTGACCAGACTAGGTGCTAAAGATGATGACTACAAACATGTCATGTCACTTAACAGCAATGCGACTGATGATAAACAACATACAGCTAAAACAAAACTAGATGCAATAAAAGCTAAATGGAATCTGAGTTTAAAGTGTCAGGCAAGGTGGTGTCTTTATCAAACAAGTGTATCAAATTGTTTTTCATACAAAAAGGCAATAGAGAGGTTGATTCATGACAGGCATATACTCTCTGAATTAAAGACATTCCTGTTGTTTGAAAACTCAGATGACATATGTGAGATGACAGCGATACTACGAGAACTGCATGCCAGCCATGAGGTTGAAAGTGAACTAATCAAATATAGAACAGGGCAAATGAGTTCACAAGAACAAGCAATGAGGAAACCATTTCAGAAACTAGAACCACATCATCGGAAACTACTAAAATGGTAAATAATACACAGGGCAATTGTCAAAAAGGCTGCTTACCCCCCCCACCTCCCCAAGATGGCACATATTTTGTACATCCATTTAAAGCTATTTGCATAGAATTGAATGAACTTGTTGGACTCATGGTATGGTTTTTCACATTAATCAATCAAACATTAACCTAGTATCATATAATGACCTAACATTATCTTAATATTACTCCAATATCAGTCCTGATATCTACCTAATATCACCCAAGTGTTCTGAATGCAACATCAATCAAATCATCAATCACCCCATATCACTCCAATATCAGCCACAAAATCTGCAAAATATCACAAAATATTCTCAATGCAACATGACCATAATAACGACCTAATAAAACCCCTATATTAATCTGATATTATTGCAATACACCCCAATATCAGCCTTGATATCAACCCAAATCTTCATGAATGCAATATCAATGGCAATACCCTCGTCCAATATCAGCCCAAAATGATCCCAATATTGGCCTCATATTGAATCATCCAATATTATCCCAATATCAATCTTATATCAACTCAATAATGGCATAATATTATCACAATATCACTCCAAGTCCAATGTCCATATCAGCCCAAGAGAACTCAAATGTATTCTGAATGTTATGTGACCCATCACTCATCCAGTTCACCTGTATATCATATGTCATTTGAAGAATGTAATCCTATTTTCTTTTTTTTATTGCAATTTTACTGTTAATAAAAATTGTATGTTGGATGTACGTTTGTCCCTAAGAGGGCATCAGTACAAATAATTCCTTATATATTATCAGCCCAATGTGACCTAAATACTGGCCTTATATTATCACAATATTATTCTTTACTCTTAACACTAAATCTTGTATATTTTTTTTCAAATTGGAATAATGAACTAATTTGCTTTCTGCATAATGCAGTTTATTTGGCCATTCTGAATCAACGATCAACAACAAAAAAATTTTAGCAAATCAACAGAGCAGCAATCCCAACAAACAAACAGTATAATATAGTCATATATGATATCTCCTAATAATTTAAAATTCTCATAAGGGTTGACCCTTTTGGATTTGAGATGTACAAATAATATAAATGATATGATAATTGTGATCTTCTCAAAAAATATCATCGTTTTAATATAGCTATACTTTGAGGAGATCTTTATCTACTACAAATCCCAACATCAGGTGGCCATTTTGGATTTTATGAGGCTTGAATCCAAAAAATGATACAATATTTGAAACTAATCAAAAAACATTAATTTCAGTATAACTCAATATCTGTATGTAACAATATAACATTCATGCAAGTAAAGCAGAACTTTCTTGGGTGGAGACTTATTATGCTATATGTGAAAACACTCAAATAACTACAGTACTTGCTATCTCCAGCAAATTAAAATGTCACACCAACAGACCTCTAAAATACTCTGACATGCAATGCAATCCGTTGTTAACTGCCAAAACTGTTTTCAAGCAATCAGAATATCATATTTTAACTTTAACTTAAATTTAGGACAATTCATTAACCTAAATATAAAATCTCGTTAACAGATTACTTGTTACTTATATAAGACAATGTCATCAAATAAATTAATTTTAAGTATATAGGTATATGTTGTTCATATTCCATGAATTTGTTATCAATGATAAGAGTATAATTAATGATAATAGATTAAGGTAAATGTTACCCAAAAGGTCAAATATCAACATTAGACTTGTACAATGAGTGTCCTTGAGTAAACATACAACTTTTAGGTAAACACAAAAAAAACATTAAAAATGAATGGACAATTTCTGGGATTATGCTTTATTTGTAGGGTTTCCATATTTTTTTTACAATGACATGCTTTTGCTTTTGACATAAAAAGTTTCATAAGAAATATTCGTGAACATCTGAGTTCAGGGTCCAGCAGTATGTCTCAACTTTCCATCTGCTATGCTTACAGGATTCCTGTGGTGAAGTTCTATGGTATGGGAGAAGATGGTCTTTACTCAATACATATTGTTGATGGATGTGTCAACAAGACATCTGCATTCATAGAAAGAATGATGCCAGGATGCAAGTTCCACTCTGTCCCCTGGATGAAGGATGAATCTATCCAGTTGCTTGGATGTGCAGGGGGACCTCTACATAGCAGGCAGCGTGACACTGCTGATGAAGGTATGCTTGATGATTTTGTGGTAAACCCAAGGGGGACAATTGGGGGACTTGCTAATCTGCTTGGTCGAAATGAAAGATACAATGAGAGGCAAGGTGAGATGTATGTTCTCACAGCCAACCATGTGGTTGAACAACTCATTCCCAATGTTGAATATATTTCTTGGTCCAATGAAGATCAAAGTGACAAACATGTGATTGGTAGAGAGGTTCCATACAAAATACCATTAAGAATGGACAGTGATAGTGATGAAGAGGACATTGATGACTGGAAGGATGCTACTTGCCAAAAAGAAGATGAGAAAATGTTAGAGAAATGCGTATATCATACAGTAATGAATGATAAAGATGAGGAAGAACAACAATATGATATTGCATGTATCAAAGTGGATGATCAACATGATCCTGCTTGCAGCAAAATAAATAATGAACAGTTTGGGAACATAAAACATCAATACAACGATTGTAATGGTTGTTGTAATAAAGAAAGATGGGTTTACACAGACCCCAGAGCTGGCTCAAATGTAGTGAAGCTAGGACTGTCACTCAATCAAGCAAAAGGCAAAATTTTGCAAGTAGATGCAGCAGGTGAAATCAAAGTTGGCAATAAAACTGCATGGGTAGAGAACATGGTAGCTATCAGTTCAGAAACGCCAGATTCTGACACTGCATACACACAGCCAGGAGATAGTGGAACCATAGTATGTGATACAAGAACAGAAAATTGGGGACATTATCTATACTGTTTCATGATATTTGCAGGATGGGATAAAGCAAATATATACAATGCATGGAACAAACCAGTGTCTCTAGCATTCTCGTTACCGGATGCCCTAGAGAAATTAGTTGAACAAGTCCCTGGAAATGATGACGAATCAAAGAAGAAATTTAAGTTGTCTTGCTGTATGAGAGTATTTGAACAAATACAAGAGGAAGAAGAAGAAAAGCGTCAAAAGGAAATAGCAGAGTGTCCAAAAGAGGGAGCAGAGTGTTTAAGTGGAGAAGTAGAATGTTCAAATCAAGAAGCAGAATGTTCAAATCAAGAAGTAGAAAGTTCTAAAGAAAAAGGAGAATGTTCGAAAGAAGCAAACTGTTCAAAGCAAAAACCAGAATGTTTGAAAGAAGAAGCAACATGTTCAAAGGAAAAAGCAGAATGTTCCAAAGAAGAAACAGAATGTTCAAATGAAGAAAAAGAATGCCTAAATGAAAAAGAAGAATGTTCAAAAGAAGAAGCAACATGTTCAAAGGAAGAAGCAACATGTTCAAAGGAAGAAGCAACATGTTCCAAAGAAGAAACAGAATGCCTAAATGAAAAAGAAGAATGTTCAAAAGAAGAAGCAACATATTCAAAGGAAGAAGCAGAATGTTCCAAAGAAGAAACAGAATGCCTAAATGAAAAAGAAGAATGTTCAAAAGAAGAAGCAACATGTTCAAAGCAAGAAGCAAAATGTTCAAAAGAAGAAGAATGTCCAAAGGAAACAGTAAATCCAAAAGAAGAATGATTAAGTGAAGCTTTTCCATCAGAAGACATTTGGATACACACTAATGTAACTTACAATTGAATTTGAATGACTTTAGAATGAGAGTATTTCAGCAAATAGATGAAAAAATGAAGTGTAGTATATTATTGAGGATTTTAATGGGTGATAATAGAGGAATAATAAGTATCAACTTATGTATTTGGACAAGACTGTCACAAATAAGGGCTGTAGGTTATGTTATGTTATTTTATTTACCATTATAAGCTTTATTATCTCCTTAATTATATAAATATGTTTGCATAAAAATGTCAATCAGATTATTATCATGCAGCACTTTACTTATTGTTAAACTTTTATATACTATACCATATTAGCATATTACTGTACTGGCATGTAGCTTATATTATAGGGTTTGGGTCACTTTTTGTATTCATAGGGTGTTCAATAAGTATTGCTAAAATGCTGTGACTGTGATATTTATATTTCCATAAAACAAAATCATGGATACTTGCCTCAAATGAGGAGGCAGAAATAGTTTAGCAAAAAAGTGACAGATGTGATATAATTATAAAAATTCTGCAACTTTACGCATTGTTTGCAGTATGCGCTGCGTTTTCGAGATAGAGAAATTATGTCTTCATTTATTTCAATGTGTTTGTAAATTATTCCTATCTTTTTTTGCAATTTTTCACACTTAGCCTTTGGAGGACCAAAATGTGGTCAAGTTTTTGTTTCAAACTAGTTTTACACATATGTTTCAAGGATTTCACCTCAGAAAAAAAGATCGCAACTAATATGTATAGTGCTTGTTTTGATTTTTGAAGCATTCTTATTAATTTGTTTTTAAAATAATATTCTAAGTAATTTGGCCGTTTCATTTATAATTATTTGCTTGTCAGTGTATACAGGGCTTTAGAAACAAAAACTAGGAAAAATAATGCAATATGTAAAAAACATAACCCAACATATCTGAAAAATACTTATTGAAAACCCTACTTCTCTGTGTTGCTCTTTGTGCATTATTTGCTTTTCTATTTCTAACCTTGTATAAATGAGCCTTGTCATGTGGAAAGGAGTCATAAAAATAGACACTTTGAACGTAAAAGGAATCTTTAACACATAAAAAGGGTTTAACCACATTAAAGTGTTTTATCACACTAAAGGAGTGTTTTAAATTTCACTTTTTATTCCATATAATAGATACAAATATATGCACTTGGCAATTCAATTATCTCAGTGATTAACTCCATAAGTTCATAAAGTAGCAGTAGAGTTTTCTACTGACTAGGCTCAAATATTGGATGTTAAATGATTTAAAATTTTAGGAAAATAAATGTTGATGAGCTTAATAAAAATTTATACCAGATTCTGTTTTTCTTATTGATAACAAAGGACGATTCTCGGTTTGGAGAACGAAGTTCATCAATCTAAATGAGCATTATCCCTGCTTCGGACAAATTTGATTTTTTTTTACATAATATCGATTTGAATGTCTTCTTTTGAATAGTCATTATTTATTTTGGGTAATATTTGTAGATTTTTCGCAAAAAAATATTAGCGCAGTACACTGATGAACTTCTTTCCCCAAATCGAGACTTGTATTTTATTGAATCGGTCTAATTGAACGTTATCCCTGCTTCGGACCAATTTGTTATATATATATTTACATCTTGTAGAATTAAATTTCCTCTTTTGAATATTTATAGTTTAATTTGGGTAATATTTCTATATTTTTCATGAAAAAATTATTAGCCCAGGAGACTGTTCTCCAAACCGAGAATCGTCCTTTAACTATCATATCTTTTAAATAAATCCCTTGAAACATTTTGATTATGCCTGGAATATCTATTAAGTTATTTACAAGTTTTTCTTAGAAATGTTGAAAATGATCAAAACTCTGAGAGACTTGATAACTCAGGTATGACAAGGGGTTAGAAAAGGGGTCCAAAACAAAGTAATGACAAGGCATTAACATAACAAAATGCCACCATCTAGTTGCTCACAATATTATGAGTTCAGTCTTTTGAATTTCTGAGAACTTATAGATGAAAAAATATGAAAAAATAAAATGGTCAATTTGAAGCAAGTTGAAAAAAGACCTTTTTTACCCTGGGAAGGTCAAAGAAGGTGAAATCTCAAATCTAAAGTCAGTTGTGAACTTGTGAGAACTTCTAGCTGATTTTGAAAAAAAATTGGTCAATTTGAAGCAAGATGAAAAAAGACCTTGAGAAGGTCATTAAGGTCAAATCTTTTTTGACCTTGAAAATGTCATAGAAGGTCGAATATATAGCCAGATGTGAACTTCTGAGGACTTGTAGATGATTTTGAAAAAAATAGCAAGTTAAAAAAATACCTTTTCAACCTCCTTGACCTTGAGAAGGTCATTGAAGGTCAACTCTCAAACATAAAAGTCAGATTTGAACCTCTGAAAAACTTGAAAATGATTTTGAAAAAATGGTCAATTCAAAGCAAGTTGTAAAATACATTTTGACCTTGTAAACTTTTTTTGACCATGAAAAAGTCACTTAAGGTCAAATCTTAAATGTAAAGTCAAAGTTGAACTTCTGAAAACGTGTAGATGATTTTGAAAAAAATGAAGTCAGTCTAAACAGTATTTGTTAAGTTATTGGAAGTTTTAAGAATTTGTTATAGATGCCAATCACCAACCGTCAACAACCAACCGTCGACCGATGTAAAAAAAACAGAGACCATAATAATAAGTCACCACTTTTTGGTGGTGGCAAAGACACGAAACAGTGATGAATATTACACTTTTTTACTAAAAAATTACTCAGCGTGCCCTAAACCTCACCATATCTTTGGGCTCATCTGTTCTTAAAAATGACATTTACCATAAAAAATACATTTACCATACTTGCAAACCTGGAGTAAACTGGTCTTGATGAAGGAAAATATAGCAAACAAAAGTGAACATTAACCTGTACTATGATCAGCCTGCTGAGGTGAATCTCAGAAAAATGATGGAGACACTCCAATATCACTACTTCCCGCTAGTTGCTGTATTCTGATTGGTTGACCCTTTGTTGCTAGGTTCTTCTCGAACGCAAACTGATTTCTTGGTATCGTGCTCTGCCGATATAAGGGCTTTCTCCAATCAAATCATTCTCACCATCGTAGTCCTAAACATATGAAATATTATGGTCAACATGTGGGTGATGTGGAATAATCATGGAGAAAGTAATTGTATAGGGAGAACTTGTGGCTTCCAAACTTTGAGTCTATCTTAAAGAAAGCCAACTCCTGCTCCAGTTCATAGTGTTTCTCACAAGCCTTTGTTCCTTTTTAACTGGAACCATGAAATATATTTTTACAATAAATGAAATAATGTGTCAATTTATTCTAATGAGTCATCTCATACTTAAGTCCATGGTTTTTCTTATCTCAACAATGCTAAAACATGATGATAATTTGAATGATGGATTGTGTGTTAATGATTTTTTCAATTCCACAACACAGGTCAGTTGCAAAGCTGGGTGGACTAAAGCACAATGGGTAAAATTTCATTTTGACAATCTGGTTGAGTTATGTGTTGATGAACCACTCAACTCATCAAAATCTTTTTTACATGGATGCGTCCATTACTTATTGATCACCCCTCGTATTTCTAAATGGCTAACACTTTGTTAGAAATAAAACTCACGAGATCATCCTTGGCCTTCATCTCATTTCTCATCTCCTCCAGTTGTTTCTCCTTCTCCTTCTGTTGTTTCTTCCATGTTTTCTGCTCCTCTTGTCTCACTGTAACTTCATGTAGGGACTTGTTATGTTGGTCTTGGTACTGAGTTTCTCCTCTTGTTCACTGATGATTTTCTCTAAATGTTCTAACTCATCTGAAATAGAGAAATAATATTACAGGGAACTGTTATGTTGCTCTTTTTAAGAACTGACTTTCTATTCCAACTTTTCTGAAATAGAGATATAATGTTAGGGGCAACAACAATAAATGAATCCCATAAGAGCATTGAATTAACATGCATGAAGACACCTATAGAACCATAGAGTCATCCCTTTTGCACATAGGCAATAGAGAAAATCAGTGAAAACTACTCTAGGGAACCAAGATTTTTTTTACAGTTACCTCCAAATAAAATGTTCCCCTCTACATTCTAAGATGACATACCTTGAGAGAATCTATTCTGAGCAGCATCACGCTCCTCATTGCTGATTGGCTGACCATCCAAGATGTCTAACGTGTGCAGTTTGAAGATTACATATGATTGATAATGTGGCACCTTTGTAACTAGGTTTTCTGCAAAACTGACTTGGGACAAATCCTGTAATGGCCTCAGTTTGGAAATTTCACTAAGCTAAAATAGAAAGACAAATTAAAAATAATTATGGTTCATATGAAATCATTGAATAAGGTTATTACACTAATATCACATAACCTTCATTTTGAAATCTAATTTCAACATTTATGAAGTTTTTTTTAGTAAATGATGAGATGAATAAAACTGAGCCCTCAAAGATTATATCTGTGTATTAGTAGATATCTGTCAGCTTACAATGTTTTCACAACACTTCCATGTGAAAACTTATCACAGTAGATGCCTTTATTTCTAATATAAAGTATTCTCTTAATGAAATGGGTCTATTCATTCAACACATAAAAACATGTGAAATAAACGTTACTCACAGATCCTATATTATTCTTGGCACATCTAAATATCCTGAGAGATTTAAGTCTCTTAGCTAGCCATACTGGGACATGCTCTATCTGGTTCCCAGTCAGGTTCAACACCTACAATTATATAACTTTTATTGATCATATCAAATATGTGGTCTTACCCGAACCACTGTAGTATAGTCATGGTACATATTTCTTGGATATTAGTGAATTTGTATCCTACTTTAACCTTGTTTATATGAACATTTAGCAATACTATAGATTACATTGGTTAAGGTACAATGTAGTCTAAAATATGTTACCCTTAATTTTATAAAAGATAGTCAAACATTCAATTAGTGGTTTTGTAAGGTGACCATTTCAGTAACCAAAA